ACTGCCGGTAAAGGAGCGGCTCGCGGATCCAGGAATAGTGCTGCCTCGCGCCGCTGCTCATTTGTTCCTGAGTGCCTCTCATATTACGATCATTTCTCATATTCTGTCCTTTATGGGTGATTATTCACCAAAATCTCCAATGACCCTGAAATAAAAGTGGCTGTCTAAACAACGCCGGCCTTCATTCTCTCCGCTTTCATCTATATTTTCAAACCTCGGAGTCCCTCTATAAAATGGAACGAGTCTATAAATTTACATTCGTTTAAAACTGATTTAATGCCGTGATCGAATCTGTTTACCTATAAAGCTCAAAAACTTTCAATGGAGAAAAAGAAGAAAAAGACCTAAAAAGTGTCTTGATTCAAAATTAGGAAATCCAGCACCACTGTAAGTACAAGTTTATTTCCCTTTAAAATTAGTAACAATATCACTGAGATGTGGTTGTGTTCGCTGCTATTATTTTTTACTGTTTATGTTGTTGTCAGTTTGGCGTTTCAAATTGGTCATTACAAGTAGTTTTGGATGGAAACCATCTGAGGGCGCTGTACATCCTGTTTGTCTGACTTTATGTTTGCCACTAGCCCTTATTAATAAGAATAGCCTAGTTCACCCAGAAATGAAGGTTCTGTCATCATTTATTAACTTCCATGTCGCAGCCTATGATTTTCTTTATACTGTGGAACACAAAGGAGACAGTCTCACTTACAATTCACTTTTATTGTGTGGAAAAACATGCAATAAAAGTGAATGGTGACTGATGCTGTCAGTTCCCTAGAACATCTAGAAAAAAGAGAGTTATATTGGTTCGTAAATGTTAAATAGAATGTTATAATAAGCCTATTGGATGGCCGTCCCTTTACTTACTTGTCTTGCATCTCTCAGAGGAGGGCACTGTTGTACTTTCCATCTTAAAGAAACCAGCCTTGTAGTCTTATGGATTTATGTCTCACAGAACAGAACGCTTTTCTCCTTCACTTGTATCTTGTATATATGTCTTTATGAGGCTTTTATTTTGACAGCGCTCTTTTAAATGCATACATATTTCATACCCATAGATCATTCCACAGCTGTTATTATATGCTCTTTTAGTAGATGCTGCAGTGCAGGTCTGGTAATGACTTGGCAAGGCAAATAGGACTGAATTTAAATTTAAAGTGGTTAGAAAAGTGCACAACATTTGTAAAGTGCTACATTTGAATTAAACTACATTAATGCATTTTCAAAAAGGGTTTAAGAGGCTGATTTCAAACGGCTAATTGCAGTGAAGTTGCTGGATCTGCTTTGGATGAAGAGCTATGAGTTGTCAGTTATTGGTGGTGTTATCAGGCAGCTTGGAGGGGTGGTCTGCTAAATGAGGAGGATGGAAAGATAAATAAAGCTATTGTAGCAGTGCTGACAGACAATGGACACACAGCAATGGCCTGAAGCAACATGAATGGATGTAAAATGAACTCTGAATAACATCAATGACAAAACAAAATAAACAGAACCAGGGAGATAATAGTTACTGCTTTGACATCTGATTATACTCTACTTCAGTTTACATGTGTTTTCTCAGAGTGTATGTAGTATTAAATTGTACTACTGTTTTTAACGTTGATAATAAGAAATGTTTCTTGAGCAGCAAATCAGCATGTATTTTCTGGATCATGTGAAACTGAAGGTGCTTTGCCATCACATGAATATATTACATTTTGAAATATATTAAAATAAAAACTTTTTAATTATACTATTTCCCAATAATGACTGTTTTTACTGTATTTTTGAGAAAAAAATCTTACAGACCCCAAACTAGAACGGTAGAGTATGAAGGTAAAACCAATACATTATTCAGAATATCTGATATTATTTAACCTTGATGTTGACTAAACCATTCCCATAAAACATGACACAAGCAATATTATGTTTTAAAATACTCTTAAGAATTTAAGGAAGAGCCCAAGTTCACATTTAGTTACATTCATCCAGCAGTTCTGTATCCTTATCCAAATATTCTCAATGTATATAATTACATTTTTGATAGTATGAATTAGCTGGAAGATATGATAATAGCCCATGTCTGGCTGGGATCTGCCACACCTGAAAGTTCAAGACCTTTTGTGTGTCTCTAAAGAGAAGCTTTTACACTGTTTGAAAACCTGGGGCTACAATTTCACACTCGGACCATCACGAGTGGGTCTCCTTTGACAACTCTGTTTTGCCTTATGTGACTTTAATCAGATTTCACACATCGTTTTAAATCATTAACATGCGAGGAGAGAACATGATTTGCTTTTATTATTACTCATGTACTCTTGCCGAAGTGATCATTGTTTTTTTTTTCTGTCACACTCAAACTTTTCATTTTATGATGTTTAAACAAAAGTAAAAAAAAAAAAAAACTTGCATACTTACATCTACCAAACAGGGGTTGAATTTGTACGCTGCCACAGTATTTAATGAACGTTTAGAGAAATAGTAATGTAACCAAGGTTGTCGCTAAACTTCACTGAGCTCTAGATAAATGTTTATGTTCCCGCAAGGATAGTAAAACCACACAGTTTCTGTGAGGGTTAACCTAGTTCTGAATAAAAACAATAAACGTCAAAGTAGTCCCTATGGTAAATAAACTTGTGTGTGTGTCAGTTAAATAGTCGAATTTTTGAAAATTACCTACTAAATATGGTAAAAACTCCTGACCATACCTTAACATTACCTTTACCATTTATGAGTGAAAATGATGTAAGTGGGAGAAAGTTCCTCTAAAACATGCTAATTCAAATTAGCAACTCGTGACAACATACAAACTAGCCTCACAGTAATTGCTTTAATGGTCAGTCTACTTATAGGTTATGCCATCACCTCTGAGAACGCTGTCTGAGTCTAGCATCAGAAAACTCACTTTGATGTCTCTCAGCGTCCATCTCTCATGTTAGGAGTCAGACTTGTTCTTGATATTTTCTACTGTGTTACATGGGTGCTAAGCTGCCATGATGAAAACAGCTTTCATTTTGCATCAGGTATTCTCACCTCATCTTTTATCAGATAAAGCATTTGTCAAAAACTGTTCACGTAGAGGCGCTTTCATGTCAAATCTTCAATTCAGGTTATTATGCTCGGTTTTTTTGTCAGACCTTGAAGTCACTGATATTAAAAACAAGTGCCTGTACTTCAACTCCCATTAGCAAGTACTTTCACATACATTTTAATTGTCTGGGCTTTAAATAGATGTTTTAATCATATTTCCATATGTTAAGCACACTCAATGGGAAAAAAGAGGAAGTTTCTTGAGGGAATCTCAGTTAATTTGCTCCCTGGCTAGAATTAAGCCCGGAGCCATCATAAATTACCATTTCATTAAGATTCAGAAGCCAAACAGATTTAAATATTCATGCATTCCCTCCTTTCTCTGATTAGATTTTAATTACACGATATTGTCTTAAACAAATGAGGGACGTCCGCGTAAGGGAGCTATTTGTTTTGAAGGATAATGAACACCTGAAAGGTAGAGCTGCTTCAAAGAGCAGAAGCATTTACCCGCCGAGACACAAAGGGCCCCTCCGAGCCCTGTGTTTTGTCTTGTTTCTGTAGAAAAAAAGACAGAAGGAAAAAAAGAGTCTTATACCCCAAGCACTCTGCATCATACGTGGTCAGAACCTTCCCAGTCTGTTCTTCAATCCATTCATTCATTTCCTCCCTGCCTTTGTTGAAAATTTTACGACCTCTAGCAATTATTTAGTATGTTGCGATATGGGACTCGTGAACATGATTTTTTTTGTGTGTGCGTGATGCAAGTTACACCCATTAGCTTTTAGGTTCTTTTCCCCCAATGGGTATTCAGATATGCATGTAAATTTCTCCATTTTAAATTCAAGGCAAGAGAAACATGATGCACCTGTCGTGACCAAGGTCAATGTAGAGGTTGCTGTAGACACAATGTTTGCAACAACGTTAAGGGCATTTACTTTCTGTAACTAGAACAGTGTGATTGTTCACTCTTTGTTTTTGTTTTTAATAAAAATTATATTTTTACTTCCCCACTGGAGCCGATTAAATATTTACAAAGCTCTGCATGGCCATTAATTCGTACAATAAAATGCCTTTTTCTGGTGTCATTTCAGCTTGTTTTTCAGCTATGATGCTGTGATGTTAAACCAAAAGCAAATTAATGAACGCTTACCGACTTTTACTGATTACTTTGGTTTGATGCCAGGCTTCACACAAGCAATATCCAAAGGTTACAAATAATTGCTGTGATACAGCATTTTCATCTTACTACCATGAATACCTCTCTTCACGACAGAGATGTCAGCTCTTCACTGTAATGGCCTCATTAAATTCACTTACAGGTGAGCAAAGTGTACAATGCTGTGAAGACATATCAAAGCCGCAGCATGTTTGCCACAATAACGCTGTCCAAAAACGCGAACGAGCACTTAAAC